GTCTTAAAACACAAAAGAAAACAAAAAGAAGATGAGGAGCATAGGACTAACGAGCTGTAGTGGTATATGATGTGATTGCACTTAGGAGTTATAGGCAGAAGAATTAGGAGTTCAAGGTCATCTTCTGCTGCATGGGAGATTTCAGACCAGGCTAGGCTATATGAAAACCCTTCTGTGGCTCAGCAGTTAAAAGCACGTGTTGGCTTTTACGGAGGACCTGGGTTAACTTCACAATACCCACATGGCAATCAAAAACACCTTTAACTCCAGTTCTAGGGAATCTGACCCCTCTCTGACCTCTGCTGGCACCACACACATGCAGGCAAAAACATAGCATAAGAACTAAGATTATGTTTTTTCACTTGGTTTTTGATACAAAACGAATCTGAATATTTAAACTGACAACAGTGTTAGCTCACAAGACCCATTACTAACAGTATAGAGTCATGGAATTCTCATGTTCTCCTGAAAAATGACATTTTTGGTAGAAGACTAGATGTGCTGTCTCACAATATTTTGGAGGTTCAAAGGAATATCCTCTCTTACATCAAAGTTTATGTTATTAACAAAGAGATTCATTTTGAAATTCTATTATTCTATGGGATGTCAACTATATGTCAGCTGTTTTTTTTTAAAAAAAATATTTACTTTATGTATTTGAGTGTTCTATCGACTTTATGTCAGGAGAGGGCATCAGATCCCACCACAGATGCAGTAACTAAGACAGGGTCTCTCACTTTTACTTGGAAATCACTAACTACACTAAGTTGGCTAGCTAGTGAGCCTCAGAGACCAGTTCCCTCCCTAGTGCTGGGACCACAAGCTCATGACACAATGATTGGCTTTTTAAAATGTAGATGATGAGGATCAAACTCAGGTCCTTAGGCTTTCAAATCAAGCACTTTACCAATTAACTAAGCCATCTCCCAAGCCTATGAATTTTTGTTACTTTTTTTTTTTTGAGACAGAGTCTCATGTAGCCCAGGCTAGCTTTGTATTTGCTATGTAGCTGAGATTGCCCTTGATCTCTTTTTGATTCTCTTGACTCCACTCTTGGAACTACAAACATATAACTGACTTTATTAAATGTACTTAATTGGAGTAGATTTTGAAGAGAGAAACCAAATTAGAGAATTGAAAAGCAAAATGCACGTATTTCCATGCACATATCACATGTATTTTCCAAGTAGTGCAGGAGACAATTTAAGTAGCTGTTTTTTC